GGAGGGGACATCTGCTGATAACAGCTATTGAATGTCACTGCATGGCTGATAAGAACTGCAGCATCCCATTGGGAGATGCTCCGCCCATTGGGAGGAGCCAAGCATTGCTACCCAGATATAATCCAGAGGTTTTAGAGACACCAGCATGGCTTTCGCCACTGGATTCCCCAGAGGAACAGCAGCTGTCTCTTCCACTGGATCTTCAGAGGAAGAATCCATCCTTCTCTACAGGACCCCCTTGCTCCAACAGAACCACCCCTGACACTGCAGGAGGGCCGCAGCCACAATTCCAATGGGACTGCCACCAACACCCTGACCCACAGGGTGTCAGGTTGGGTTCTGACTTTGTCAATGTTGTTCTAGTGTACTGCATTATTTTATCCTTTTTTTTTCTTCCCTATTAAAGAACTGTTATTTCCTGCTCCCATATTTTTTGCCTGAGAGTCCCTTAATTTAAAATTTATAGCAATTCAGAGGGGTGGGGAGGGTTTGCATTCTCCATTTCAGGGGAAGCTCCTGCCTTCCTTAGCAGACTCCTGGCTTTCCAAACCAACACAACACCCCAGCCATGGCAGCCACCTTCCAGAGCAGCCTTACCCCACAGGCATCAGGAGCTGTGTCTGGGATCCCCACGCTGAGGCTGTTGGCTCGCAGCCACCGAAAGTGCTCCAGGAGCTGCTGTGCCAGAGCCCCGTGCTGGTAGGGCAGGTAAAAGAGCTCCACAAGCATCCGCACCTCCTCCAGGGTCAGGGGTGATGTGGGGCTGGGCACGGCCTCCTCCGGGGTCAGGGGTGCTGTGGGGTGGGGTCTGGCCTCCTTTGGGATCAGTGGTGCTGTAGGGTGGGGTCTGGCCTCCTTTGGGGTCATTGGAGCCATAGGGTCAGGCTCGGCCTCTTCTGGGGTCATTGGTGCTGTGAGGCCAGATCCAGCCTCTTCTGGGGTCACCTGTGAGGTGGGGCTGGTCCTGGCTTCCTCTGGGGTCACCTGGGATGTGGGGCTCGTCCTGGCCTTCTCTGGGGTGACCTGGGATGTGGGGCTGGTCCTGGTCTCCTTGAGGGCCATGGGGCCAGACACAGCCTCCTTGGAGGTCACCTGGGATGTGGGGCCAGACCCAGCCTCCTTGGGGGTTGTGGGGCCAGACTCAGCCTTCTTTGGGGTTACCTGTGATGTGGAGCTTGTCCTGGCCTCATTAAGGGTCATGGGACCAGATTCAGCCTCCTCTGGGGCCACCTGGGATGTGGGGCTGGTCCTGACCTCCTTGAGGGCCGTGGGGCCAGACTCAGCCTGTTTTGGGGTCACTGATGCCATGGGGCTGGTCCTGGGCTCCTCTGGGATCATCTTTGCTGTGGGGCTGGTTCTGGCATCTTTGGGGCTCATGGGGCCAGATTCAGCCTCCTTTGGGGTCACTGGTGCCATGGGACCAGGCCCAGCACCAACCTCATCAGCCAGTGGGGCTGTGGCACCAGGGCTGGCACCATCCCCAGGTCCTGGGGGTGTCTGGGGCACATCAGTCCTGATGGCCTCAGGCTGGGTGCTGCTGGGAGAGTGGACAGGGCTGCCATCCCCTGTCCTGGCATCCCTGGTGGGCAGGGAGATGTTCTGACTGGTGTTGGCCCCACTGCTGGAGCTCGTGGTAGGGCTGGGGAGGGTCTTGGTGGCCTCTGTGGTTCCTGCAGACTGGGCACTCCCATCCATGCTGGGCACAGCAGAGGGGGGCTCACAGCTCCCTGTGGTGGTGAGCTGGTCCCCAGTAGGGCTCTGCCGGTGGCCCGGGGGTGTCCTGGCTGAGGTCACCTCCCTGCACCCCTCCTCTGGTGCCTCTCTGCAGGGCTCGGGGCTGTGCTGGTCTGCCCCACCAGGAGCAGAGCTGTGGGGCTGAGGGTCAGGGGTGCCCTCCTGTTCTCCTGCTGTGCCAGACTGCAGCTTTGGTCCTCCCTTGAGGCTGACACTGGGCTGTCCTGGGGTCCTTCCTCCTGCCAGAAAGGAACAAGAGGGAAGCTCCTTTGGCACCTGCATGGAAATGGGGCAAGACAGTGTCAGGGACCTCCACCCCTGAGCTGCCAGGACCCTGGGCTGGGCTGAGGCTGTGGCTTTGCAGAGGCAAACATTGCAAAACACCAAGCTCACCCCTGGCTGACCTCCTCCTCCAGAGCTGGCCCAGGCTCTTCTTGTGCCAGCCAGGGAAACCCTCTGCAGGCTGTGGCCATGGCAGGAGCACCCATGGGCCAGCACAGCACACCTGCTCACCATGGCCTGCATGAACCTGCTGCCACACCAGCCCCAGACCCTCCAGATGGGCAGGGTGGAGTTCCTAACCCCCACTCCAACACTCCAGGGATGGAGGGATGCTGCTGCTCATGCAAATCCATTTACCTGGCTCCAAGGCCTGCTGGTTTATCTCAGCCACCCAGTCATGCAGAGCCAGCTCCAAGGCTTCCTGTGGGCTGTAGCTTCCATCCTGAGCTCCTTGGCTGTCCCCCAGGGCTCCCTCCATTCCTGAGGAACTGCAGCTCATCAGCCTGGGCAGCCCTGCAGGGCTGGGCAGGCACAGAGCTGCCTTAGGCATGGTGCCAGGTACCTGCGTGCTCAGGGTGGGCACAGCTCCCCAGCTCGCTCCCAAACCAGGTGCCCAGAGTGTGGATGGGGATGAAGTTGGCCTGGAGCTCACAGTTGGGGTTGAGGAGCAGCCCTTGGAGCCTGGCCATGAGGCCAGGAGCTCGGCCCATGTAGGGGCCCAGGAAGACTCGTCTGCAGTCGTAGTCATTGGCGTAGAGGTTGTCCCAGATGACGGGAGGGCGCCTCAGGACGGCCTCCACCTCCTCCAGCAGCTCTGCTGACAGCTCCTGGGACACCACCTTGGGGCCTGGGCTCCAGCACAGACACAAGCAGGGACAAGGACACGGAGATGAGGTTGTGGTCACCACAGTGAGGAGAGCAGAGCCCCAGCCCAAAGCCCTGCACACCCCAGTGAGAGGCACCACAGCGGGGTCACTGTCACTGCTGGTGACTCTCCCAGGACAGCCTGTGACCACATGGAGCCACATTTCTCCTCACAGAGAAAAGCAAGGCACAATTCTTCCCAAGAACATTTCTAAAATTGACATTCTCTGAACCTCAGAGAAAGAAAAAACAATTCTTATTTGCTGTGCCTGTGTTGGTGCAAAAGTAGAATGAAATATGAAGATTATTTACCCAAAGTGATCGGGTTTTGTTTCCTTGGCCTGTCAGGGCCAGGTGTGTGTGTGTTAGGACTGAAGGCTGAGATTCTGGGCAGTTGAGTGCTTGGCAGATTCAGTTTAGATGTAATGTAACTTAGTCTAATAATATATTATAATAAAATAATATATAATATTGTATATTACTGCTAATAATATTATAATTATTATATTATAACTATCATTATATTAATCATTATTTATTTATATAATTATATTCATATAATATATATTATATTTATAGTTTATATTTATAATAATATAATTTAATAATATATACCATACAATAGAATGATATAATTTATAAATTTATATTTATAAATATATAACATAGATTTAAATGTGTATATAAATATATTAATATATTTAATATATATTTAATATTAATATATGTATATATAAAATGTATTTATTTAAATATATACAATATAGAAAATTTATATTCTTATATATTACATTTATATAATTATTATTTATTTATTTATTATAATTATTATCTGTAATAATTGTTAATTATTATTATAGTAATTATATTATTATATTAATTTAAAATTATATATTATATATTATATATTATATATTATATATTATATATTATATATTATATATTATATATTATATTACTAATAATACAATATATTACTATTATATTGTTTTATAACCACACTCCCAGAGCTGGTCCATGCTCACCTGTCCAGATGACAGCGATCCCTGGGAGCAGCTCCTGCCCAATGGTCTGCAGGTAGCAGGACTGGCTGGGGCTGGGAGAGCACAGTGAGCTGCAATACTCTGGGGAGAGAGCACAGAGCATCCCCTGGGGGCTGGGGAACAGGAGGGGAGGGAATGCCAGGATCCTGGACTAGTCCTGAC